AAATTTACAGAGTACTCTCTTAAGGAACATCCAGTTTAATCTGTCGAAGGCCTTCTCTGCGTCTAAGGACACGAAGAGGCCTCCTTTACCTAGTTTACGGGTACTATGCATAAGATCCAGAACTTTGCGGGTGTTGTCAGATCCCTGCCTCCCCCCTACAAACCCCACCTGGTCATCATGGATGAGCTCTGATAGTATGTTTTTGAGTCTGTTGGCTTGGAGTTTGGCAAACACGTCAGTGTTGAGCAGGGAAATGGGGTGAAAGTTTGGGCACGCGGTTGGAGGTTTTCCTGGTTTGGGGAGGGTGGTGATGTGTGCCTGTAAGAGTTCCGTAGGTAGCGAGTGTTTGTCTATTGCAGTGTTGAACAATTTTGTAAGTGTAGGTGATAGGACATCCGCATAGAGGTGGTAGTACTTATTGGCAAATCCGTCCGGACCTGGAGCCTTATTTACGGGGAGAGTTTTTATTGTATCCCTGACCTCTTGTTGGGTGATAGGAGCTGATAGTGCGTCTCTATGGGCTTGTGTAAGCGTCGGGAGGGGGGCATCGCTTAGATAGTTGTCTATCGCCGATGGTGTAGTGGTGGGTGTGAGTGGGTCTCGACTTAAGGTTATAGAGAGATTCATAGTATGTCGCAAATTTGTCACTTATTGCTTTCGGGGCTACCACCCTACTTCCTTGGAGTGTTTGTATATATGCAATTTTGGAGCTTGCTTGTCTGTCTCGGAGTCTTTGTGCAAGAATTTTGCTTGCTCTATTTCCCTAGGAACAGTGCGTGGCTTTGAGTTTACGTAATGAGAAGCCTACTTTGGTGAGTGCTAAAGCTTGTATCTTATCTTGCACTTCAACAATTTGGTGTTTCAACTCCGAGGAGGGTGTGTTTGGTTCAGTTTGTTTAGATCATGGAGTTGTTTATACCAGATGATCTGTTGGGTGTGGGATGTTTGTTTTAGAAAGTGGGCTCTTTTTATTATCTCCTTGCGTATGACCGGTTTATGGGCAAGCCAAGTGGTTTCAACGTGTATCTCGGGTGAGGTATTGTCTTGAAAGTAGTTTGTAAGTGTGTTTTCAAGGTGTTGCACAAATGTTTGGTCATGCAGCAATGTTTTGTTTAGGCGCCAAGGGCTTCTGTTATGTATCCTTGAGTTCTAACGTGGTGGGTACGTGGTCTGACCAAGTGATTGACGCAATTGAGCAAGTGAGTGCCTGTGTCAGGTGCTTCCCAGTTGTAAGAAACCTATCTATGCAAGTGTAGGAGTTGTGCACTGCTGAGAAGAATGTAAAGTCATAAAGATTGTATTCATCTAATAGTTTATGATATGTTTTGCATTGCCTTTTGATCTGGGAGCGGTTTTGTGTGTTTGGACCCCTAGATGAGTCAAGGTCAGAGTCTAGGATGTGGTTGATATCCCCACAAATTATCACCATTCCTTTCTGAATTGGTTCTATTTTAGCCAGGATTTTGTGTAGGAAATTGTGTTGTTCTGAGTTAGGTGCATATACATTTGCCAATGTGTATGTGATATCGTTAATTGTGCAAATTAGCAAGATATAACGGCCTTCCTCATCTATGATTAGATCATGTTGTGTGAATGCTACTCGGTTGCTTATTAACACAGAGACCCCTTTCGTTTTGGATTTGGCAGTTGCATGATATTGGTGTGGGTAATCGAGGGGTTTTAGGGTAGGTGGTTTGGTAAAATGTGTCTCCTGTAGGCACACCACATCTGGTGAGGACTTGTGGAGGTCTTGGAAGAGTAAGTGTCTTTTGACAGGGGTATTGAGACCCCTGATGTTGTGGCTATGTATTTTCAGAGGTGTAGGGTTATGTCGGTGTGCTTTTTAAAAGTGCTGAGAGTGGGAGTTATGAACTTCCCAAAGGTGTGTCTGTTCGGCCGTCGGTCGTAGTGTGCATGTGAGGTGGTTTGGTGTGGTGGATACTTGCTGTGACAGCGTCTTGGATCCGTGGATAGCTCCCTTGATCAGCGTCCGAGGCAGGATGTAGCATCCCAGTGTGTGGCCTTGGCAACGCAAGTTCTTGGAGTTCCTCATAACGTCTCTCCTCCGGGGGAATAGGATATACTGGGTAAGGGGAAGAATACAGGAGGGTTAGAGCAAGGAAAAGGAAAAACAATGCGGGTTGAAGCCCAGAAAGGGCTGAGTACCTTCAAAGGGTACCATGGGGGTTAGCTACATCAATATCAAAGGTGGGAAATCTTTGATTATTAGCCCTATAACAGTTGCAAACATATTTGTAACATAGAAAACAAACAATAGAGATCATTATTTTGGTTAGAGTTCCCCAGGGATTATGAAGTGCAAATTTACAGATTTTAAAAGGTGTAATGTTAGTGAGTAATGTTTGCGTCGTGGACCTTCCACTTTGCCCTTTGGCTGTTTTTGGTAGGCAAGACAGGCCTGTTAACTACTATTTGGTTTTGTTGCCCTGTCACCCCGACACTCATACGGTGCTGTGTATGTAGTGTCTGATTTGGGTGGTTAGATAAAGATTATGAGTGAAAAAAAGAGAAAAACCAAAAGGTACAGAAAAATGTGAATCACCAAAGTGGCAAACAATAATCAATTAATACAAACTGGATTATGTAGAAATATTCTGTCTCGGAAATATATAAAATTAAGATTAGATCAGGCGTATCTCCCTCAATGTTTAGGGAACTGAAACAATATAGAGGACCTCCAGTGATGATCCTGCATATACAGTTGTAGATCTTCTAATTCACTCCAAATAGAGAGAAAAAAATGGATAGTGCAGATGGTATAAAATATAACAATTTATTTTAAATATGTTGCACTTACAGTGTTTCAAATTAAAACCAGCATATCTCCACACCAGGTGGTGTCCACATGTAGCAGCTAATCCAATGGCAGTGCAGGATCTCAGACAGCACTAGCAGCAATCAGATCAGGAAATAGGAAATAAAAGTTAACAACAAACAAAAAAATAAATGAAGTCGTTCCAACGCTTTTCGTCCTTCTCTGGACTTCCTCAGGGATGTGTAGTTGTGATGAGATTGAGAATCACCTTTTATAACCATCATTAAATTGATAAAATGTTCGCCGGTGTTGGCGTGCGTTCCACTGTGGAACGCATTCTATTTCCGTATGACGTCACTTCCGGTTTTGCGGACCAAATGAGAAAACATTGATTCTGAGATGTTGCTAGTAGTAAAAGCCGAAAACACCCTCCTCGTCAATGTAATAACTCCACAAAAGCACAATAAAGAGCCAAAAATATACATACTATACAATGTCTATCATAGAGATGAGGCATATCATTATTGAAAATATTACAGATAATACAAGTATTGGAAAAAAATTTAAGATTTGTCATTATAGAATTGAAGTCTATATTGGCCATTTATAAGTTTGAATTATTAGAATATAATAGTTTCAACAATTAAAGATTTAAAGATTTAAAGATTTTTTTAGAATTTCAGAAATTTTTAAAAATAGAAGTTTTGAAAATTTAAAGATATAAGGAAATGAGAAATACTATAAAACGTATTAATCAATTATCAGACTAATTAATTGTTATACTCCATCTCTTTACAAAAATATATATTTCTCTTTACAGAGATATGTAATATACAATACTGCATATAGATAACAAATACGTTCTACATATTGTTTGACTTTGTATTCAAAATATAAGTAGAAGAAAATTTCTGGAATTAGAAAACAGATATTAGTGATCAAATATGGACCAATCCAAAAAAAATAAAATATATAAAAAATAATAATAATAAAAAAATATAAAAAATAAATAAAAATAAAAATAAAAATAATAATAAAAATAAATATAAATATAAATAATAAAAAAATAAAATTAAAATTAAAAATAAAAATAAATAATAATAATAATAATAGTGATAATAATATTACAGTATTAAAAAAGTTAAATTAAATTAGTCCAACTAGATCTATTTCTTGATTTAGACCAAATTTTAAAGTTTTTAAATTGAAGATCCATTGAGCTTTTTTAGTATTTAATGAAAATTCGATATTACCACCTCTCCAGTGTTTATCTATTTTATCTATCCCAATTGCTATAAAGGTATTCCATTGAAAAAGTGGACATTGGGCACAATGTTTGGATACACTATGTTCTAATTTCTTATTTTTATATTTTGAAAGTGTTCCAATAATCTAACATGCAATTATGGAATGGTACGGCCAATGTATTGTGCTCCGCAACCACATTGCAGTAAATAAACCACATGGCTAGTGGAGCATTGAATACATTTTTTAATTTGATAAGTTTGTTGAGTATAAGTACCTATAAATGTATTAGTGCTCTTTTTTTGAAATGTGCATGTAGAACATTTTCCACATTGAAAAAACCTTTTAATATTTGATTGGAAAAAATATGTGTAGGTAGAGTAGGAATAGTTTTTGTAGTGGGCGGAACACTTGGAGCTAATTTGTTCTTTAAATTATCTGCCTTTTTATAAATTATAGTAGGTTTTTTTGGTAAAATATTATTTAAGAAGGTGTCTTTCTTTAAGAAGGTGTTTTTTTGGTAAAGATGATCCCTTTCATTGTGAGACAAGTACTTAGCAAGGAGACAGGTGTAAACTAATAATAATAATGAACTGGTTTTTTTTGGGGGGGGGGTTTACATAGTTTTGTCTCCTACTTTCTGGTAGTGTAGATGTGATGTGCATGTGGGGCTATCGTGTGTGGGTAGTATGTAGTATTCAAATACCCAACAGGGATGGTCGCAATCAGGAAGCATCACTTATCAGTCCTGAATCTTTATCACCAGTGTCTGGAAACAGTTGGTTGGTGCTTGTTTTACTAAAATAAAAAAAAAACCTTCTTCCACTCTTGTTCTTTTCATTGCAGTAAGGTGGCTCTCCCGGCTCGCTTGTGAAACTGGAGATCCCATTGTCGAAGGTTTTTCAGTCCTTCCTCCGGGGATAGTATGTGAGTGAAAGTCCCATATCATTGGATAATCAGGCGTACTGGGTGTCTGCATCTATAAGGGATCTCGTATGGTGTCTGTGGTCTCTTTAAACTCCCTCCTCTGCAGAGTAGCTGCTGATAGATCTGTGAATATTTGCAGCTTGTCATATTGTGGAGGTAGATTAACACGGTTTCTTGCGGCTTTTTTAATAGCCTCCTTCACGTGATAGCAGTGAAGGTGGGTCAGCGTGTCTCTTACTGCGTCCGCTGGTAGGAATTTAGGCATGGCTATGCGGTGAGCCCGGTCTAATAGGATCATATCTGTTGGCATGTCAGGTAGGAGGCATTTGAAGTACCCGGTTAGAAATTTGGGTATGTCTGTCTGTAATACTGATTCTGGTATAACTTTTAACCGCAGATTCTGCCGTCTTGATCTGTCCTCTAGGTTGGAGATATTCAATTCTGCTGAGATGAGCTGTTTTTCTAGGGCTTGGACGTGGTCTGCTAGGTCATTATGAGCATCAGCATATTCGCCCTTGCGGTGTTCCACGTGGGCCGTCCTTTCCCCTAGCTCTTGTATGTCTTTACTTAGCGTGGCTACTGAGGATTGTATGTGTGACATTTCCTCCAGGCAGGCTCTCAAGATTTCTTGGATGACTGGGAGATTGCCTGGGTTTGGCGAGTTTTGCAGGGGGAGAGTATCGTCCCCGCCGCCATCTTGGTCTGCCTCTTGTAGGCCCAGGGTTTTGTTTTGTGCTGATCCCACCATGAAAAATCCAGATTTGTCCCCTCGGTCAGGCTGTTTTTTACCCTTTTGTTGAGCCATGTTATGAGGTGAATGGAGAGCAATATTGGGTGAGGCTTGGTTTAGTCGCTTGTAGGGCTAATCTTGGAGCGGAGCGCTAGCGCAGTGCGACCATCCGCTTCGGTTTCCTGGCCACGCCCCCACAATATCAATGCATTTTAAAGTTGAGTATTAAAGTAAACAATGCTATAATAAAATGGATATTAATTCAGTAATAGAGAAGGGGCCCTAGGCAGACTACCCGTTTGAGAGACCCACTTCATTCTTTATATAGGGATGATAAATAGGACCAAGCAAATTTAAGGGACACTATAGTCACCAAAACAACTTTAGCTTAATGAAGCAGTTTTGTGTATAGATTGTGCCTCTGAAGCTTCACTGCTCACTTCATTGCCATTTAGGAGTTAAATCATATTTGTTTCTGTTTGTGTAGCCCTAATTACACCTCCCCTGGCTGTGACTGACAAAGCCAGCATAAAAACAAAACGGTTTCACTTTCAATCAGATGTAACTTACTTTAAAAGTTTTTACCTCCTGCTCTGTAAATTGAACTTTAAGAAAATACTGGTGGCTCCTGCAGGGTCTAGCAAGCTATTAACAGAGCAGAAGATATGAAAATTTAAACTAAGCAGAATTTTCAATAAAGGTAATGTAAACATTAGATGACTCTTTACAGGAAGTATTTAGGAAGGTAGTGTAAGTCACATGCAGGGTGATGTGACTAGTGCTGCATAAACAATGTGATTTAACTCTGAAATGGCAGAGAATTGATCTGAGAGACTGCAGAGACTTGTTCGATACACTAAAAATGCTTAATTAAGCTAAAGTTGTTTTAGTGACTATACAATCCATTTCATGATTCTGGGGCCCCTGTCTATCTCCTGGACCCTAAGTTGCCATCTACTGTTGCCTTTTGATTAATTCTGTTATGATCAGTAAGAATGATTAAGGAGTGAAAAAAGGAGCAGGTAATAAAAAAAAAATAATCAGACAAATAAATCACATGGATAAATACATTATATTTGGTTATATAATGAAAGTGCATACTAACTACTTTTGAAAAGGTCAAAAAATAGTACAGTTGTAAGAGTTTATGTATAAAAAATACCACAACTTGGGAGGGGAGACACATTGAGGGGCTATGGAGAGGGAATGAGACACATGGATGGTCTGGGGGAAGGGAATAAGACACATGAAGGTGCTGGGATTGGTTATGGGACACAGAGAGGGGCAGGGGAGGATAGAAAGGGACAAGGATGCGGGGGATGAGACACATGGCCCACCTCTGATTGGGGTGCTTTAAATTTGCTCAAGTCCCAGACACTTTTGGACCCTGGTAAAACCTAGTTACACTGTCTACAAAGGGTCTTACATCACTGTAGGAAGACGGAATGTTTTCTGTTAACAGTCTCATTTCATGGCCAAATATGCATATTATATGTAATGCCCTAGAGTCATATTCAATACAAGAGATACAAAATAATTAAACTCAGTTTATATGGTATCATCTTTAAAATGATTTGTGTAAATTTATAAACTTTCCAATCAAACACTGTTCTGTTTTTTTTTAATGGCATCTAAGTGTTATTTTGTAGATTAAAGGACCACTCTAGGCACCCAGACCACTTCAGCTTAATGAAGTGGTCTGGGTGCCAGGTCCTTCTAGGGTTAACCAATTTTTTAATAAACATAGCAGTTTCAGAGAAACTGCTATGTTTATTAATGGGTTAAGCCTTCCCCCTAATCCTCTAGTGGCTGTCTCATTGACAGCCACTAGAGGCGCTTGCGTGCTTCTCACTGTGATTTTCACGGTGAGAGCACGCAAGCGTCCATAGGAAAGCATTGTAAATGCTTTCCTATGCGACGGGCTGAATGCGCGCGCAGCTCTTGCCGCGCGTGCGCATTCAGCCCAGGAGGAGGAACGGAGGAGGAGAGAAGGAGGAGAGCTCTCCGCCCAGCGCTGGAAAAAGGTAAGTTTTAACCCTTTTCCCCTTTCCAGAGCCGGGCGGGAGGGGGTCCCTGAGGGTGGGGGCACCCTCAGGGCACTATAGTGCCAGGAAAACGAGTATGTTTTCCTGGCACTATAGTGGTCCTTTAAGTAATTTTATGAAACCATACTGTGGATGCAGACAATGAGGAAGGCATGGATTTGAAATAAGGACAGCTGATTGCCAACCAGATGTTCCTGTGGTAATCACTTTACTTTGTCTTTTTATTATGTTTTATAATAATGGAATTTATGTTCTGCACCAGGAGGAGTAGGCTGGCAACTTCATGCCTCACTCACCGATCTCACATAACTTATATCTTGTATACATGATCCCCCCCATACAGCACACACAATATAGATGATTGTGAGAAGTGAAAGCTGATGGAGAAGTAAAGTGCAACATCATATTGCTCTTGAACCTTTATCAATATGACCGAAACAGCATGAAGGAGCTTTCACAGAGGTCTATTCATGTGTATGAGAGGCACAGACTGATATCCGGCACTCCGCTAACTCTAATGACAACTGCAGTTACTTGCAAACACCTCCAAGAACATCATACATACTTATAATTATAGACTGGCAGCCTGGTCCACCCCAGATACTACAGTCTCCTGAGAAATATCCCAGTGGGCCAGTCCATACCTGGAGAACAAAGAGAATGTGAGATACCAACTCATGCACTAATTCACATAATGTATAAGACTCTGCAAAAATTGTGCCTCACTCCTGCAGTACTGTGCTAATAGAGACATTAAAGTATCTCTTGGTGTTTCAGTCTGTAGAAAAACGTCGTTATGCTGAAGCCCAAAACTCGTGTAAACTAGTTACTGGGGGGAGTAACTGTAGTGGATATGGCACCATGAGTGCCCTAGAGCCCTCCCACGGTAAGTAGTCATCTTATTTTCCAACTAGACTGCCTTACATTTTGTATGTTGATTTGTTAACTTGTCTCAGCACACTGGACAAACCTTTTCTATAGATTTGGCAGCCATAAATGACACATGGCCATATTACTGTCCACTAAAACGTGCTTGAAAATGGATGACTATCTATTCAGGAAACACATTAAGGTGTCTGCTGGGAACAACTTATGAATCATGCATGATGCTGGTGCTTACATCAATAATTAAGACACATGTTCAAGTAAATCCCTTTCCTTATAATACACTTCATCTGCAGTTCATTAGATCTATTCAGAAGCATTCATTCAAGGCTTGCAAATGTTTTCTTTGTGCTTACAGGGACATAATTTCTACTGTTTTAACACTGTGTGTAATATTTGAGTACATACACAGAAAAACAAGCCACTTCAATCTTTTTCATGTAAATGATTGCACTTATTTAGTAACAATTTCAATAAGTAAGATGGGCATTTTTATTAAAATCAATAATACAGCTGATTTGTATTACACATACACACACACACTTACACATCCATAAATGCGTTCATGTATGTCCCTGCTCAGTAAATACTGCTTAAGCAATTACAATACACAACAGTATTTTTCATATTTAAAGATTACATCCAACTTGGAGTCCAAGAAAAATGGGATTATTTAAAAGTTGCACTATTGAAGGCAACAGAAAATTGCATTAGGCTTGTCAGTAAAAGCAAAAAATTCAAGAAACCACTGTGGTACTCCACAGATGTGGCCAAAATAGTTAAAAACAAAAAGTTAGCATTTAGGAATTATAAAAAAACCCAGAGTGAGGAAGACAAAAATGATCTATAAGATTAGGCAGAAAGAGGCTAAGCAAGTTATAAGAGCTTCCAAATCACACACAGAAGAGAAAATAGCACAGTCAGTAAAAAAGGGGATAAAACATTTTTTAGATACATAAATGAGAAAAGAAAAGTAAAACAAGGATTAGTTAGATTAAAAACAAAAGAAGGAAGGTATGTAGAAGAGGATAAAGGTCTAGCTGACTGCCTCAATGAATATTTTGTTCTGTATTTACAGATGAAAATGAAGGAAAGGGACCTCAGTTAAGAAAAAGGATAAATGAGTCATTTATTACACGTGAGTTTACAGAGGAAGAGGTTCTATTTCAACTGTCAAAAGTAAAGACAAATAAGTCAATGGGACCTGATGGAATACACCCAAAGCTATTAAAAGAGCTTAGTGGTGTACTAGCAAAACCATTAACAGATTTATTTAACCAATCATTGTAAACAGGAGTAGTCCCAGAAGATTGGAAGTTAGCAAATGTTGTGCCCATTTACAAGAAAGGTAATAGGGAGGAGTCGGGCAACTATAGGCCAGTAAGCCTTACTTCAGTAGTGGGGAAAGTGATGGAAACCATGTTAAAAGGATAGGATTGATGAACATCTAAAAACACATGGATTTCAAGATCAGAGACAACATGGGTTTACTTCAGGGAGATCATGCCAAACTAATCTTATTGATTTTTTTGATTGGGTAACTAAAATTATAGATCAGGGTGGTGCAGTAGACATTGCTTACCTAGATTTCAGTAAGGCTTTTGACACTGTTGCACATAGAAGGCTTATCAATAAACTGCAATCTTTAAGTTTGGATTCCAATATTGTTGAATGGGTAAGGCAGTGGCTGAGTGACAGGCAACAGAGGGTTGTAGTTAATGGAATATATTCGAAGCTTGGACTTGTCACCAGTGGGGTACCTCAGGGATCTGTACTTGGACCCATTCTCTTTAATATTTTTATTAGTGATATTGCAGAAGGTCTTGATGGTAAGGTATGTCTTTTTGCTGATGATACTAAGATATGTAACAGGGTTGATGTTCCAGGAGGGATAAGCCAAATGGCAAATGATTTAGGTAAACTAGAAAAATGGTCAGAATTGTGGCAACTGACATTTAATGTGGATAAGTGCAAGATAATGCATCTTGGACGTAAAAACCCAAGGGCAGAGTACAGAATATTTGATAGAGTTCTAACCTCAACATATGAGGAAAGGGATTTAGGGGTGATTATTTCTGATGACTTAAAGGTAGGCAGACAATGTAATAGAGCAGCAGGAAATGCTAGCAGAATGCTTGGTTGTAT